GCTGCTGCAATTTTTATTGCTACCGTTATTTTGTTGTTGTTCTTTCGCCAGCAAATGTGCTCATTCATAGCCTTTTTAAGACTCCGCCTTGATAGCATCACGCTGATATGCTGCACATTTCTCACACATTATACTACTCCGAGCGAGTGGGTGGGTGGGGTTAGTTTGTCTGGCGCACCGAAAATGCAGGAGACTCAGTGAAATGTTGAAAAATGGAAAATTTCAAAAATAGATTATATGAAAGAGCGTAAAAGACAATCATGGCAAGTGCACGAAATGCACAAAATGCAAGGTGACGCTGTGAGTTTGAAAACTATTTTCCAAAAATTTTCTTTTATTTTGAGCTCATGGCGTTTGGAGGCTAAGTGCACCAAGGGCGCCCATACGCATACAAACACATACATCACAACGCATTTACTAAGTGCATAATTTATTGCCAATAATATTGGAGAAAAGTGTGTTGCAGCATTGCTTCATTCAATTCGTGAAATCGATAGTAGTTTAAGTGTAATGAATGCAGTCAAATGTATTTTTGGGCGAGAGAAATGTAATAAATCAAGAATTCGCTCATGTCTTGGGAAGATAGTGCATTTGTTACTACTGTGCATATATATGTATGTAGTAAATGCAATTAAATATTCTTCATAGCAATTTTAGAAAGTGTTGGGAAAATCTTAAGAGTTGAATACCTACTTATTGTTGTTGCTTTTTTGTATAAATAAATTCCATATCCTCCTATATGCATTATTTATGCATTAAAGTTTTTTTCAAGCTTATATATATATAACGTTAGATTTATCTTTTTATATTAAAAAACTGGGCTAAAAACGTTCGTGTGATCTCGATGGTTGAAAAAAAATTTCTTCCTCAAAAAATCAGTCAGCAATCATTTTACTCATGACCGCTTATATTGCGTTTGGGCGTATAGTTTTCAAATATTTACAAGCAAAATTACATAACTTAATGCTATGGTCAAATAAATATTATTATAGAAATGGGTGGTAGACCCCACCAGGGGATCGCGGCAACTGTGTTGTAGAAATTCCAGCTGCTAGGCCCGATTTTCGAGGATTTTTTTATGCAACTGTGGCCGTTTTCCCGCATTACCGCGCCGAAAATTCTCTTCCAAATCGTTAAACGTCTCGTCTCGGCTGTTTTGCATAGACGTCCGCCTTAACGTACCCTCTTAAAGAATTGCCCTTTGGTGTTAAAACTCACGATCTTAGAGGCCTCGCTACAGATACACCACGCGTGATCCTTCAATTCAGATACGAAAAGGTCTTTAAGCTTCAGCTCTAATATGCTCTATATTAATTGTATTATTATGAACATTTCAACAATAGCTTATGGATAATCCTTACTTCAATACACGACAATTTTGTTCATTAACGTACCCATTCTAGCAAAAGAAAATTTCCAAATTTTCTTAATAAAGTCCGTCTGGTTTTGTATCCATTCACCATACGCGCGCCGTGCTTGGTAGTGGTTCGAATTCAATTCTTGCACGAGCTGGATCTTGTAAGCGCGCAAGCCAAGTTCTTTCCGCAAAAGTTCCCGTACAGATGATTAGTATAGCTCTAAGTGTTGGGCGCAACGGCGCATGTACTAATTCGGGTCTTCTTCGATACCTTGCTTCACAGCAGCAAAAGCGGTTTCGGAGCTCACTGTGCCGCGTCTCTGAGGATGCCCATTATCCACTGGATTAAATTTGGGATGAAATCATCAATCCATGGCGGCTCGTATTACCGGCTCTTGCTTAACGCGAACCGAAAGAATTACTATTACGAATCGCTGCGTATCGTAACAAAATCGACCCGTTTCTGAAGCGAATGGTGAGTGGTGAAGATGAATCACATAAAGCAACGTCAAACGAAAATGATCGTGGTCGAAAGGCAATGCGCCGGCACGAACGGTCTACAAGTCAAGATTGACGGCCAAGAATCTTCTGTCGTGTATTTCGAGCTGCTTCCCTGCAACTAAGCTCTCATACTCCCACCTAAGCTAACAGCAACGGTCCTGACTAAAGGAAGCAATGGCCCAGAAGTGCCCTGCTTTGACCACCACGAGGGGAATTGTGTTCCATAAGGGCAACAACAGATCACAAACATCGCTAGCGATTCGCCAGAGGCACCGATAGTTTGGTTGGGAATTCTTATGTATCTACCTTATACTTATAAAGATCCAGCAACAAATAATTGCCATTGGCCTTTTTGTCTATTGCGAATGATTAGACTGGTGAAGAGTTGAACTCAAGGGAAGCCCGTGAAAATCGATAACGAGCAAGGGTTTACATGAGAGAGGCATAAAACATTTAGTTCAAAATGGCAAAAGCCACGTTTAGTAACAATAAAATTCACTTCAAAAAGTAGTGGCGAAACAATATTAGCTAATTATTATCCATTTATTTTGCAATAATCCAGTAATTCAGATTTTCATTCAAAAATACTCCTATATACATAAATAAAATATATTAATTTTACGACTCAGCAGATGTGATATTTTTCTACCAGACATTTTTTATGCAATTTATTTGAATTTAATTGAAATACGTTGCTTAGAGCTTTGGGCGGTTGAAAGCTTTCAAAATCGTTAACAGTACTGTTACCTACGGCATACTGTTGTTCCTCCATACAAATTACAACAATTTTTTTAATCCCATTGAGGTCTGGTATTTCTCATGAAACTATTCTTATGTGTTCACATAGCTTTTCGTAAGCTTAAAGCAATGTTTGGTAGAAAGCTTAAGAACCATTTCACGTCTCTCATGTTATATTGTATTTTGTATTGCAAGTGCACGAAAGGATTAACATAAGTACAGACGTTACTCACATATATATATATATATATATATACATGTGTATATTGCGCCGAATATTTTTTAAAGCTTTCTAGTATTATATTATATATTTATTTATTTACCAGCATGAAAAAGCGCACAAATGTTTCGAAGCAATGAAAATTTTGCACTGAAAATTTAAGCTTTTAAGCCGCAATTCCTTTGGGAAGGGTTAATTTTATATTTTGGAGAAGAAAGAGAAGGCAAAAAGGAATACGAAAACTTGTTTTTTTAGAAAGCAAATATTTTTTATTTGTTTTTGTATTAATTATTCATTATTTTCTAGGCAACAAAATATTATTTTTTATAGTCAATATTTTTCGTGATATTTTTGTTGATTAAATATATTTTTTTGAAAAAATTTTAGTATATTTTATATTATTTATTATTATTTACTTTAAAAATATTTATTTAAAATTTTCATTCAATTTCAGTATTTTAAGTACATTTTATATGGAAAATGAAATCTTAAATTTCTAAAAAATCTTTCAAATTCTTATAGCACAATTAGTATTTCATTACAAATTTTTTTTCTTATTTTTTTACTTTTTCGTCAGAAATTTAAATTAGTTTTCATTTAAAAAATTTGTACGTTTTTTTTTTGTTACTGGAAACTTCATAACAGGTCTTTTAATTGAATTATTTTATTGAATATTTTTGAGAGATTTCAAAATAAAATTATTTTAAATAGAAGAATTAAATAACTGAAAAATTAAATAACATTTGAAATAAGAAAATTACCCACAAACCCTGTTCACTAAGGTCACCGCTGACTCCACTCTGAGTCGACGTCATAGTTTGTGACGCTACTTGTGTGAGCTTTACCAGTAACGTGCGCTCTACTTACTCAAATTTGAATAGTTAAAACAATTTCTCTCCATTTTACGCTCTCATTAGTAACACTCTCTCTGATTTGCGCTCTCTGCGCGCCATAAACTCCCTCTCTGTTTACGTATTTGAAGTGAGCCAACCAGCCGACCGTGACTGGTGCCAGCACGTGCATGGGCGACCACCGCTACACCTCCTATGCCCTTCCGCAGCTCTCATTTTTTCTTCTGTTTTCTATTTTCTCTTGTTCGAAATGTGTGCGTGCCTTTAATCGTTTTCGTTGACGTGGTGTAATAACGCACAGTAGCAGAGCACGACAAACCAGCATCGCTTTTTGTTGACTTTCATAATTTTGCGATTTTCTTCGCTTTACATGAACACACAACTCACGTTATAGGCAGCGTGTGCTTACCACTTGTGCGTCTTCTTTGTGTGCCTTTCTCAAGCTTCACATCTCCCACTCTTCTACGCTCCCTTTGGCAATGCGTGACGGTTCGGTTTGCAACGGCGGCAAAATGTTTTCGCATTACGCTTCGTGAGCTCTTGCATTCGCTTTACCTTTCGACAGCTGCTTCGTCATGGTCTCACGGTCATCATTGCTTGCTCATCTTCTTCGGCTTTAATGCGGTCGGCCAGCGAGCGCGCGCGCCCCAATTACCCGCCAACATTGCCTACTTTGCACTTGCCGAACTGCTCTCTCCGCACACTTGGCGCGTCCGCTCATTAGTTCCACTGATTTAATTCTGTTTCTATGCTTTCGTAATAGTTCGTATTTTTTGATTCGTGCTCGTATTTCTCACCTTTGTTGCATTTGCATTGCATTTACTGCTGCTGCCGCCAATGTGTCGGCCAAAGCTGCCAAACCAAGCCACGCTATGCCAAGGAAGCACGACGACGACGACGAGCCGCCTTTGCCTTAACCTCGCTCAACAAAATTGGCGGCGACGGCAATAGTTTTGCAGAGGCCAGCACGCGAATAGCACGACGCCGCGCTGCCTGCTGTCGGCCGTCTGTCAGCCTCAGCCAGCTAAAAAGTCAGTCAGTCACTCAGCTACTCGGTTACTCAGTGTGCCACTCAGCCGGGTTACGCGCGCATTACAGTTCATAAATTGCATTGCATTATTTGGCGTGCGTGTACATGACTGGGAGTGCGTGTGTGTGTGTGTATTCGAGCGCGCGCGTTCACACGCACTTAAACGCGTCCGCGTCCGTGTGTAATATAATTGCAAGAGACCTACCGATTCGCCTTGCCACGGTGACTCGGTGCTATAGCTCCACGGCTCAGTGCAAGCGTTTGTAAGTGTTTATGCGTGTGTGCGTGGAAGTGGCGGGAGCTTGTCGGAGTAAAAAAATTGAAAATTCATATAATTGAATCCACTTTTGAACACGTTAGCACCTGCCGTTGAAGTCTCGTGTCTTAAGTGAGGTTACTTGGAAAATGCACAAAGTGAGGAAATTACTGGTGAAAACTAAATTGGAAAATATTTAAATAAATAAAAAAAGTGTACGCACACATACACTAGCATGGCAAGCGTGTGTGCTAGTGGTGGTAGTGAAGTTGTTTTGAATGATTAATTGCTTTATACATGCATAAGCGTGTGTGTGTGTGCTGGATATGCTACTGTGTTGCATACTTTCAGGCGCTGAGGCAAGAATAAAATAGTGTTAAGTGCATTCGGCACGTGAGTTTATAATTTTTTCCGAAGAATATTTAATAAATCGTAAAAAAAATGTGTATGCAAAATAGAATTGCAAAATGTTGTTTTTCTATTCTATAATAATTTATTAATAACTTTGAAAATCGCTTCATCAACGAGCAGCGTCATATAATTTATTTGTATGGGTCTAACAATTATCGATTTTTTAAATTCTTACACTTTAAGAAGTGAATTCATTCATTTGGTTGCTGCTAAAATGGATTTGGTATAAAAATTTGAAACATTTTTGAATCAAGCTGGTATCACAAATACTTAAAATTTTTTATAACTGTTCTTCTTTACTAAAACACACAATTTCATTAAAAATTTTATATATCTAAATAACCCTTCGGGATTTAATGGTGTCGGATTGCTAATCAATAGCTTAAAAATATTGCCAGAAAGTTTTTTATTATAAAAACTCACCTTTTTACTATAAATCTATATTTAAATATTTTTGGTTAATTAAATTTTTAATTTAAAAATATTATTAGAAAGTTATTTAAGGTTTTTGAACTATCAAAAGTGTGCTAATGACATAAAATAAATTAGCAAGCCAAAATAACAGTAATTTTTACTTTGAACAAACATTCAATAGCAACGATTGAACCTCGAAATATGACGATAATAACTTCAATTTTCATTCAATGATCAAACAAATTGCTAAAAAAAATAATTTGCAACATTTTTCAGGTCATCGTTTCGGGGATAGATTTTTTTTTGCTGAAATTAATGATTTTTTTTTTGATTTCAAAATAAACGTAAACAAAATACATTTCAAATAACTTTTTTATGAAATTCTTTTTTTTTTTTTCATTAAATCTGTGCCATGACATTTTATCTAAAATAATACATAACGCAATGAACGTCTCGTGACGAGATTTCGACAAGTTTTGATGAGTTTGAGGTAATTTTCGACCACTTTTTGGCACATATTGGCCGGCATTTCAGCCATAACTTGACGAATGTCGGTGTTAAATGAGCAAGAGTTAAAAGGTCTATTCTTATAAACACGGACCAACAAAGACCAACAGTCAAATCACACGACTTTGGTGACAAATTGAAATCGCCAAGACGAGATAACATGCGGTCGGGAAATTTCGCTCCAACTAAAACCATATTCGCTAATGTTTTGTGACATGTGACATGCTGAGACCACATATTGTTCAAGTCGTGCTCTTCAAGCACTTGCTGGCAAAAAAAAAAAAATAAAAAATAAAATAACAAAACTCTCCGCGTTGATAGTCTTGCCGTTGGCGCTTTCAATGAAGTAAGGTACAATCACATCTCCAGACCAAAAAGCACGCCAGACAATAAGTTTGTTTGAGTACAATGACTTTCCTTCCATTACTTCAGGATTCTCAGATCACCAAATGCAACAATTTCGGCTGTTTATGTATCCCCGAGTAAGAAATATGTCACGTCGTTGAGGAAAAATTTTTCTCGAAAACTCACCGTCCACTGTTTGTTGTTCAATCACCCAGTCGACGTGTGTAGGGCGTTGTGAATGATCTGAAGCCAACTAGCTGTTGTGTGAGTCGCTACAAAGTTTCTTTAAAACTTTACGAATTGCTTGAATAGTTGGACGACTAATTGTATCATTAACTTCCTTTTAAAGCATGAAACGTGGCCACGTTTGAGTCAGTACCTTTGTTGTATCTTAGCTTAAGCGATGCATTGTCATGAATGCCTAACTTTCAACTGAGACTGTTGAATGTTTGATTGGATAGTTAAGTATGAAAGATGTCAAAATACAACACTGTACTTTTGAAACTACGAAATGGATAACCCTATTCTTACAAAAACTAGAGTCTCTGCATAATTGATTTTGCCAGTATCGCGGCCGTGACTAAAAGTCGATTTCGTTGTAGATATTTAATAAGAGTAACGAATGCAGGCTTACTCATGAATGATGCCTCCAGTTCCATAGAATCTCAGAAATGCCAATTTGTTAATAATTTTCAATCACTTCTGGTTCATAACTCGGCTTTTCATACATAAATATTTTTTGTTTTTTTTTCTTTAATTTTTGCTTTTTTTTCTAACGAAATTAATGTTGGAAAAATTAATTTTTGTAGAAATTATGACATAAGAAATATAAGATTATGTTTGGTTTGCTTGTATGAAAGAGAGATAAAAATAAATTATTTTTTGACTCTTTTGAATTTGATGCCTGCCTGCCTAAAGCTCAATCTGTTCATCATAAAAATCATCAACATCTTAACTTAATAGAGGTTTCAAGGCAATATCGTTAGCAGTGTGTTCTAGCGGTAATCAATTGCTTCGTCTTCATGCCCGCTTAATTTGCTTGACGCCCAATATACTTCTGCTAGCAGTGACTCCAATTTTTCCCTTTGAATTGTGCTTCCATTAGTTTTATGATCCGGTGAAATAGTTTGCCTGGTACGCCTGATACTTGGAAAAATTGTTGCAAAATGTCATCAGCATGATAACGAAAAAATGTAATTATATTGTCATTAATGCGTTGTTGAACTCTGCCCTTTATCTCATTTGTCTCTGCTCGATTCTTACTTTAAACACTTCCCATAAATCATTTTACGGCATTCCAGGCTCCCAGTGAATTATTTTTCCTGCAGCAAAATATCAGTAATATACTTTATTATTAGATCATTATGTTATTGCAACTTTTGTTGGTTCGTGGGAGTTTTCAATATGTAATTTTCACACTCATATAGGTTTCCAATTACGAAGGAGAAAAGTTTTTCGCAAAACCGCCTACATCTATAAAATTGGCAGATCCTCCATTTTTGCTCGCCATCTATAAAAATTCGCACGTCATGTGCGTTTTAATTTATTCCCAATTAATTTACTCTCCTTGGAATATCATGGCAATAAAGAAGCGTTTCTGCTGCGTCAACGGCTTACAATTTCGAAAAACTCGTTTTGAAGTGGCACTAATATTTGACACTTTGAGCTTTCGACACTTCAAGAAGGAAAACAGTTTTTGCTGGCAGTGAATCTTTATCTGAACTCGGTGGTATAGGTATCTGTAGAACGTGGTACTGGAAGTGTAGCAGTCTAAGCGGAATTGTATACTTTTGTTCTCAAACGTTTTCTGTTTAATCTCCCATTTGAAGCAATGCAGGTGTAACAATTGTTTTCATCATTTCATTACCCAAACTACTGGTTTCGAGACAGAAAACTACTCCTTCTTTTATGTATCCAACCCACTCCTATGGGTTTGGAGGTTTTTCGTACCCTGTTTGAAGTAATGTCTTTGAAATAATGATGATAATAAATGGATTTGAAGTGCAAAGATGGCAAAGCTCTAATATAACTTAGACCCATAACTTGATCATTATTTGCTCTTTAGACAATAGAAAGATTTACCAGGAACTTTCTCTTAAAATCGTTTGACAAGCGAATGCAATTGAAAAGACAAATCAAAGGAACTCCCACAACAAAACCTAATATTATTAGTACTACTGTCTGGCCGCTTTCTTCAACCTAGATAAAAGACTGTAATAACTTACTACCGCATGCCATAAAACCTACATAAGCAGACCAAAATACAAATTCAAAAAGACTTTCGAAAACTTACAAAGGAAAATAATCATAGCTCGGCCATTGTGACAACATTTCCGTTGTCTCCTCGGAAAAAAGTAATTCTAGCAGTAGAACTCATGAGAGAAACGCTCGAAGTGAAAGAATTGGAGTTTAAGTTAATGCCATAAAAAAGGGTTTGGGGGAAGGAAACGACAAGTGAAAGTTGAATGAAATTTGGACAGGACCTTTTTTTTTAAATGGAACATTTTTTCCTGTACGAATTTGCTCATACGGAGAACTCAAATTAATTTCTTAGACATTTTTGTGTGACTCAAATTTTCAAAAATTTAGAATGTAAAACGCTATGAAATGTTTCCTTGATACGGCAAGGCTTCAGGGTAAAGAAAGCTTAGAAATTCGTTTTAATAATCATAAAACAAAGAATTTAAGATTTAGGGTCGGATAGGATTAAATATTGAGTCAACAGTTGAACTCGACACTGTGCCACTGTTTATTCGGTTGTAATTTCAAAGTAACTGACTACCACACGTTTTTTAAGGATGTTGATGTCTATACGATTAGAAAGGACCAGATAGTAAATAACTGGCTTTACAGACCCAAAGCCATAGTTTGTTGAAGACAGTGCTTAGTATTTCACACAATACGCTCGATCGAGCCTTGTATGTGATATTAGGGACGCTTATTCGACATTAATTGGTGCAAACTGTTTGGGATCCACCTGTTGTGGATTTTGTGGACAGCCCGCTTAGGCTCCAACCACGTTTCTTTCGACCATATGTTACAGAGAAACCGTTACATGCAACCTGTTAAATTTTTTCCCGCCTTATTTGAATAGCACAGCCGGCAATTTACTACCCCACGCCACTGAGATGTTCTTCAAGCGGTTAGCTGCTGCTCGAAATTCTCTTTTGTCAATCAATGAATCACCCGTTCCATCGTCAACGATGCTCAATCTCTCTTTATGTGTTCCCTCTATAAATTCTGAATATCCTGAGCAGCAGTCGTTAGATTACCTCTTTGAATTCTACAAAGACTGCTTGGGTCTTGAAACCTACAGGAAGTCAGCGCATCTTTCCATAGAATAACTCTAATCGAATGGTTAGCTTTTCGTACTGCCATATGGAAAGCCAGGGTTCGAGTTCTGGTACGATGAACTTTCAAAAGTTATAGAAATTTAATTTAAATCAAAAATTAAATTAAATTTGGTAACTGCGGCCACGCC